CCAATGGAATATTTTTGCATCTCAGTTGATGTCCTAAATATCTCGTTTTGGTAAGGAATGTCTTTGAAAGTTACACTTATCTTTTAAACCGATGCGTAATTTTTGGTAATTGCTTGCAGTAAAAGAATTTCTAACGAATTAACGATTACTCTTTAAATGTTACAAAAGACTCTTAACATTAAATGTGTATAAATGGGCCACCTACGGTAGATCGCGTAACAATTTAAATGATCAAATTTAATAGGAAATTCTTCTGTTTTTGGTTTTACTACCCATAATTCTGTAGCCAGAAATATTTAGTCTCAAATTTCACTTAATAATCGCTTTATGAGCTTAATGAGGAGGGGCGACAGAATCCCAAAGCGCTTAGTCAATAAAGCAAACAAGATTCGCTGGACACCTCAGCCGCTCCACCTTATTCACTCGCTCGGCGGAGACGTTGAAGAATGCGAAACTATTTGAATGATATTCGAACCGGTTCCCAATGAATTTGCCGCATACATTTTGTGCTTTTGTCAACCGACTTCAAGGTTAGCTTTAAGAGCGAAATAAACAAAGCTAAAAACTTACAAATTATGTAGTTTCGTTTCAGACAAAGCAGAACCGCTTCAGTGGCTACCTGGATAACATGGAAATTAATTAATTGATTGACTTCAGCAGCTGCTGCTCCATGACACAGTGGCCAAATGGGCTTTTCGTTAACAGATTACTGTTTGACATAATTTGTAGGCGTGTGTGCTTCTCCCGCGCTTCACCCCGCCCCCGCCTCGCGGCCAAAAAACATGCAACAAACAGTTGCATGTTCGTGTGCGTCAAGAAAGCTGAAAGCAACACACACACACACAAATTGATGCGAAAATGCAGATAAAAAATCAAAGAGACGGTGAAAATTGAGAGGAAAACCTTTGGAAAATTAATGAGCTCCAAGCAATGCGGACATTGTTAAGGAGAAAACATTTTTCCTTCTTCATTATTGGAGAAAAAACTTAAAAAGGAAAGGATAGAATGAGCGACGTCTAAATATTTGGAAATAGTGACTGAATCTTAATCTCACAGTGAACAACTAATTGAAAAGGCTTTTATTTAGCCGCACATCAATCAGATTAAGAATCATTTATCAAATCCAATCAAAACAAAGCCAAAACAGCGGATGCAACCAGAAATTTAATGTTGAACCACAGAAGAAGAGTGAACATTTGTATATTTATTTAAGTTTTAATTCACTTCACTTTGACCCTATTGCAGTGCGCTGTAAAGGGTAGTAGCAGTACACATAAATCAACAAAAATACTTTAAAGCTAAGAGAAAACTAGGTAAAATATAGAAAAACTATTTCCCAACACAGCGTCAAATGGAAAAACTAAACCACGGCAACAACAAAACACCGAGAGGCACCTACAATAACACGAATTATAGCTGCTACAAAAATTACCAGGTAAACGTTTCGCTTTTCATTTTACACCTTCCACAAAACACACAACAACAAGTAGGCAGCCAAGCAGCAGACAGACAGACACAACCTCTCCTCTTTGCCCTTCTGAAAGGGAGCCCTTTCCATTTCCATTTTCCATTTTCTGCTGGTTGTAAACAAATCAAAAGGAGGTCAATCCATATTGGCAGAATTAAGTGGAACAAACACAGAGCACCCCACAATTGATTCGAAGATTCGGTGATGAAATGTTTACAGAACTTACAACTTAAGTTGATGATTGCAAAGTAGCAAATGCAAAGTGAACTCACTTAGTGAAAGAAAACGAAGGGGAAGCTATGTTTGCGATTTCCTCAATAAGTTCTCTAGTCTGATTATTGTGCTATAAAAAACGGCGGAATGAATTCGACCATTTATAAAACTGTTAATCAAGATTTAAGCATTTCCAGATGAGATCATGCCAACGGGGAGCTTGTTCAGTGAAGCAAGTGAATCAACGATCGAGAATGTTGTAATTAACTGAAGAGGAAAACCTTAAACTCAAACTCGGAGAAAAAGTATAGAAAATACATGGCAGAATAACGGAAAATACTATTACAACACCCCTGAAAAGATGGTTAAGAAAAGTAATCAGTGTCATGAGGGTCGGGGCGAAGTACGAGGCCATTATATAGTTATCCACAAACATATTCTTATAGTTCCAAGAAATTCCATTCCTTCATACGTCTCATATACCAAAACAATCAAGCACAATTATGCTGCATTTTCGGGAATTCATTCTGAAATTAGTTTAAAAACTGGTTTATATACCCATACAATTAACATTTTCATCGCAGGATCGTGTTGGAATAAGCTTAAAATATTTACATTCATAAAATCAATAATTATAGATATTTTAATAATTTCGAAAATATAAGTTTAAAAAACTCATAACTAAATCAAAAATTCACTAATTTCAATTCGGAAAGCTTTCCTATGTTAGTTTTTTTAAGGTTAACAAATCTGCATACTCCGTTTGAAATGTAAAAAAAATTAATTTTTTACCATATTTTTTTGTTAATTTTAACGATTATAAAATATGAAAAAAGAGGCCAAAAATTTTTTCTTTCCTGAGTGCCTAGAAAGATTCCCCTGTTGATGCTGATCAAGAATATATATTGATTATAGGGTCGGAAACACCTCCTTTCAAAATTATAAGCATCTCACTAAAATTATAATACATTATTTTTAATAGATATTTATCTATATTTTTATGACAATTTTATCAAGAAATCAAAGTTTAAAATAGTCATAACTAAGTCAAAAGCGCACTAATTTTAATTCGGAAAGCTTTCCTATGTTAGTTTTTATAAGGTTAACAAATCTGCATACTCTGTTTGAAAAGTAAAAAAATGCAATTTTTTATCTTTTTTTTGTTAATTTTAAGGATTATAAAATTTGAAAAAAATGGCCAAAAAAATTTTTCTTTCCTGAGTGCCTAGAAAGATTCCCCTGTTTATACTGATCCAGAATATATATGGTTTATAGGGTCGGAAACGCCTCCTTCACAGAGTAATGAACTTTTGAATAAAATTAAATAACCTGCAGTGTATATGGAGGAAACAATAATAAGGAAATGGTTGAGATGACCTGGCAGAAATCTCTCTTCTCAAGCTCTCGTTCCCAAGCTTATTTTTCTGACCCAAAAATTAAGAAGAAAAGATCGGATAGATGCACTCAATTGTGTTAATAGAATTCAAATATTAACAATCACCCAGATTCTTGGCCATAAAAAAAGAATAATTTCCAACTTCCTTCAACATAGTTTTCATACACATACGAACCTCTTATGTGGTAGAGATAATCGGCCTGAAAAGCCGTTAAATTTTCGATCTTCGGTTAGGCAATTTGGCTCTTAAGTGACCTAAACCATCCCACTACTAATGAGCCATTAACACGCTTATCTCACAGAGTGCCGAAAGAGGAGGAAACCTGGCTAAAATACGAGCCCCATGACCGAAAGACCTCGCCAAAATTGGCCACGCACATGAGATGAGTTTTTTTGCGATTTTGTTGGCCCAAAGAGGAGACCCGCCGACTCGGCTCGGCACGTGAGGATCGGCGCTAAAAGCCAAATCACTTTGGGGTCAAATCAAAAGGGGAAAATGAAAATGAAAGAGGCGAGCGACGAGTGGAAAATAATATGAATTTCCTCAATTAGATTTCTCAGTCTCTGACCCCGAACAAGGCACGAAATCGAACGGGGAAAATCGAAGGGAAACGAATGCAAATCGCATTAAGACGCGCATTTAATCTGCTGCAAGGCATCGCCTTAACCCCGCCCGAGGAAAATGCTGGGAAATGGGCAAAATGGGGTGGGAAATGTGGAAGGAAGAGCATAAACTGTACAGCCTTAAACGGTTTTCTATTTCTTGTCTGTGTTGGTTCAGCGGGTCAGCGAGTGGGAGAGCGGCAAATCGGCACATCAGAGAATCAGGAAAGCGAAACGATAGATGAATGGAATATGGAAACCAATATATAAAACAACAATTTCATTCAAGTCGGAAAGCGAGGAAATTGTCTAACGTTAGGAAAATGAGTGGAAAGAAGAGCCTGTTCAAGTGCCATCAGTTGTGGAATTTGGGACAAATAGCTCCTCTCCCTCCACTCTTTCTCGAGTGGAATGCAATATAAATAAATACCCCGCACCTCAACGTTTTATTTTTAGGAGCTGCAATTGAAAACTGAAGTGTGAAGGAAGACGGTAACTTGCAATTCCCATTCTTAAGAAATAAGAAAATATTAATATAAAAATTAATTACTGTAAGAAAATAAACTATCTTAATGTAAGAATAGTCCCTTTAATCGTTATGTCACCTATCACATGCTTTTTCTGCTCCCATATATCAATCAATAGCATTTTTCTGCGCCTTTTTTCACCTTTTTATCGCTTGCCTCTCAGCTTTCTGCACTCTACAGATATCAAAAGCGATTGATAGTTAAGCACCCACGCACATCAGCAGAAACAACAACAATTGAGATGCAGAGTTACACACACACACACAATCCAAGCAAAGAGAGTGGTAGAGAAAAGAGGAGCAAGCGAAAGAGAGCGAGCCCAACAAATATTATCGCAGTTATTACGAAATCGCAATCGAAACATAACGGTAGATAGCAAAGCACCACCACTACAGTAATAAAATTGAAATGGAGTGCGACGGACAGGGGGTTGGTACTGGCAAGTGGGAGTGAGGCAGAAGAAACTCAATGATCTGGCGCGCTCGCTCTCACACTTGCTGACTGCACAACTTGCAGTTAAAAGAGAAAGAAGAAGCACAAATAAGAAAGACAAAGTGTAACTGGCAAAGCGAACGAATAGCACGAAGCAGAAGTCAAGAACAAAAGTTGCCCGCCAGCGAAAGAAAATAGAAGAAGCAGAAGAGGAACAAACATACAACACACAAACACACTCTCAGAATTACAGGAACGGAGGAAAGAGAGCACAGGCGGTCCTCCTTTAAAAGTTGCTCACTTTGTGCAAACTTACAAATGTAATTATGTTCTAATTTTTGCAATGATATAGTCAACTTACTTTGATTTTTGCAGCCACGCATGCGCTGAATGGCTTTTCTTCCAGCTCCTACAGATTCCAATTGGAGTTTGTACCCCGGCTGCGAAAACAGTTTTTTTCTTCTCCTTGCTTTTGCTTTACTTCCACACACATACACACTTAATTGCGCACATGCACACACATATACAAGTGCACGCACTGCAGGCGGCTGCGGTGTATTTGGCTTCACCCTATTCAGGGCCGCCGTCTCCAGTGATTTTCACACTTTTCCGGCAACCACGGTTTTAGCCTTTACATCCATATAACTCTTGGTCGCCCGCTTCGATCGGATTCTTGAATATTTTTCACATGCACTTTAGGCGACGCCACACAGACACCACTCACACATAACACGGCCAGATGCGGACGATGCGAGCGAGAGCGAGGCAGGGAGACACCAGAAACCGACACAAGTTGAATTTGCGTCTGCTTCCTTTTTGCACATTCTCCGTCTGTCGCCGTTTCTTAATTTTATTCTCGCTCTTCGGCACTTCTTAGCGGCTTGACTGTTTGCAACTCACTTTACTCACTAAAACATAAAACACGACTTTTGGACACGCGGCGGATTCATCAATAGTTCAATTTGGCACTGGGCAAAGCGGCGGCGGTCGCACTTTTCACGATTCCTTCGAATTTGTAATTTGTTTCGGAAAATTGCCAAGAGCTCGACGCGCTGAACGGAAGTAATCGCTGTTTTCTTTTCGATGGTTCGCCAGAGTGACCAGAGAGCCAAGGCGATCGAAAAGGTTTGCCTGCCGCAACTATACTTTTTCTAGTATTTTTTCTGCCCACGAGGGTGGCTACTTGTGGTAAACCTTTTCTGGTCACTCTAATTTTATCAAAGTTTGTTTTGATTCCATCGAATCTTTGTTTTTCAGCGAATTGGGAATTTGGAATTAAAAGATAGACAAGTGATAATGTCCCACCGCCACCAGGACATTCCCATCCGCCCACGCTACGGTTACGTGGACGAGGAGAGTGGCCCGGACAATCGGCAGCGGTCAGGAGGATCCGGGGTCGGAACTGGAGGGCAGACCACGCCCGCGTCCTCGTACACGGAAATTCTGTTTCTGGCCCAGTATCCGGGCGCAGTGCCGGAGAACTTACTGCAGGACCTCACGCCAACGGCGGGCCCGGGAAACGCTCTGCCCGGGACAAGTGACGAGAGCTACGTGAACCTGGACTCCGGCGCGGAGGATGGGGAGGACGAGGAACTGGACCCCGAGGAAGAGGAGGACAACAGCAACACGAACAGCAACTCTAAGGACAGCTCGGCGGGGGATGTGCAGCGCAACAGGATAAGATCGGAGAGCAGTAATATGAAGCAACGCAAGCGGGAGTGCATTCTGACCCTTTCCACGTTTTGCAGACCTTCCCTACGAGCTGGAGGGCGCCAGTGACTCGGACGGCATGCGTCACTTTGTGGCCCACGATCTGGAGGCCAAGCTGCGTGAGGGTTACTCCTCTGAGCACACCACACCATCCACCTCCGTGGCTCCCGGTATGCAGGGCGGTGGATCATCCGGCCTGCTCACGCGGCGCTTCCTGCAGTCGCGCAACGTGCCCGAGGTCGATGGCAGCGTGCTGAGCGACATTGAGCTGGAGGCCCAGTACCTGGCCAGCTCTGTAGACAACCTGCTGGAGAACCTGGGCAACCTGCTGCACTCCATTTCTTCAATCACCGCCGACAACGTGGAGGTGCACCGTAGTGCGGTCAACAAGCTGACCGACACGCTGGACGCGAACATCAAGTGCCAGTACCAGTTGCTGGCCAAGGCCGAGGAGATAACCAAGTCGATGAAGCCCACGGAGCAGCTGGGACAGCGAATGTGAGTAGGAACCTCTTCCAGAAACGCGTCTAACGATGTTTTCCCTCCCACCTGCAGAAGGGAGATCAAGCGACTGGTGGACATGCTGGACAGCACCATGTAGATGGCCCAATCCCCTGATCAGCGCAATCAAACAAGTATCTTAGAAAGTTTCTAGTCATTCCGCAAAATATATGTAAAATTCAAGTTCAAATGGCTTTAATCTCTCACAGCTTCTCCACCTTCGCCTTAATGATCCTCAACGGATCCACGGGACGATCGTTCTTGTCCGTCTCCACCATTCCTATCCGCTTGACCACCTCCATGCCGGTGTACACTCGCCCGAAGATCGTGTGCTTCCCGTCCAGCCATTGCGTGGGCGACAGAGTGATGAAGAACTGGGAGCCGTTGGTGTCTGGCCCCGAGTTTGCCATGGAAAGGATGCCGGCGCCTGTGTGCTTCAGGTCGCCGTGCAGCTCGTCGCCAAACTCCGCGCCGTAGATGGAGGCACCGCCCCTGCCCGTGCCGGTGGGATCACCTCCCTGTATCATGAAGTCCCTGATGATGCGATGGAACACCACGTTGTTGTAATAGCCTCTTCGGGACAGCTCGGCAAAGTTCCGGCATGTGTTAGGCGCATGTTTCCAGTACAACTCCACTGTGATTTCACCCATGCTTTGCAGTAAACATTTTTGAGTTAGTTTAATCCAAATAGTAAAGAAATCACCCTTACCTCGTTTCCAGAGTCACAAAGTGTGGCTGCCAGGCCTTGTCTGGAATGCCAACAGAGTTACCGGCATCAGTTAGAGACAGCATTTTATTTAAATGAAGTTAAAATTGCAATTCGTCAATTGTTTACGCTGTGCTGCCAGTGTGACCCACTCAAAAATGAATAATCAAAACAAAGCGAATATAAATTCGGTGGGGTCACACTCGAGGTCTTGACATGCGCGGTGCTGCCAACTATCGGTTGTCATATATAGCTGGACATCGATGACTCAAAACATGTTTTTCACCCGAAATTAACGTTTTACAAAAATTTAAATAATATTAATATATCTTTTAATATATTATAGTATTCTGTTATTTTACACTGTTTCTGCTTGGATGAGAGCTGGTCTGTTAATGAATTTTATTTCCTACATAAGAATTCTACATACATCTGTAAACTTGTAAAGTGCTAAATTCTGTTAATGGCCATCCACCCGGCAGCACCCGAGAGAGAAAAGGGCGCCTATGTTACTAATGTTAAAATTTACATGAACGTGTCAAATTGTCATCTAGACGTGTTTGATGTACAATGTTAAATAACAGCTGCGGAATTCAGACTGACCAAAAACAAGTATACAAAAACACCAAAAAAGAAAGCGAAATACCGATATTTGCCAGGTCCAACCGCCTCGGTCACACAGTTCTATGGCGGCCGATAAAAAATAAAACACGGAAAAAGGCACGGAAAAAAACGGTGGCGAAAAATTGTGTTTTGCGCGTGCGGGAGTGAGAAATAGCGACGGAAAATATAACCATGGCGTGTGTTTTTTTGCAATCAAGAGTTTCCACGACAGCACATCGTCAATGAAGCTGAGAAGTAAGCTAAAATTTAAAAGCAATATTCAATTACCACGTCTGTTGTGTGTGAGTGTGAGTGTAGCGTGTTTTTTTGTTGTGTTTGCTGGGCGAACCAGGAGAAGAAGCAGAGAAGAGAAACTCTCGAAAATGAATTAAAAACGATGAACTCAAAGTAGCGCACGTACTGTGTGTATGTGTGTGTGTTTGTGTGCGTGCTAGTGCGAGTGTGAGTGAGAAAAGCCAAACGCAAACGAGATAGACAGAGAGAAACAATTTTCAATTGCATCTTTAACTTGTTTTCTCCATTGGAACTTGTGTTTTTAGGCTGTCTTTTGTTATTAGCAATTTGCTGCACAGGGTGACTCGGGCGAAAATAAACTGCCTATGCTGGGGTGTTTCCTCTCTGTGCGTTTTCAATATGGGAAAACAGAAACGTTTTCCCAGTGTTTCCCTCGCATGCGGGTGCGTATCCTGCCCCTTCCCCTGTCTAGGAAAGGCTGCTTGTGATGAAATTCCCCAGCTAGAGGTGCCTTCGAAAATTAAGTCCCATTTACAGAGTTTTAAACAATGGAACCCTTATATAGAGTATCTATGTTTTCCTTTATTATTGTGTTCCTTATGGATAGAAAGATACAGCATTTGCTAATTAAACGGGAATTACAATAGTCCTATTTAAGGGATTTAAATCAGTATAACTCCAACAAACCAATGTTTTGAAATTAAAAAGTATTTTAGAGGGCTAAAAGTAATGAATACCAAAAATAATGAACGAAACAGTTTGTATTTGCAATTTAAAATTTCAAAATCTACGCTTTCTGTCTTATATCCACTTGGGGTTCGTTTATTGTTTGGGATTTATCGTCAACTCTTTTACTTCCTTTTCTGCTCTTTGCATTTATCAAAACAAAATGAAAACAACAACAGCTCGCAAACGGAAGTCACTCTTTATACTCCATCCCCCCCTTCTCTCTTTCCTCCCACTGCTCTCTCTTTAGCCCTCTTGTCCTGCTGCAGTGTTGCCCGTCCAGCATATTTAAGCTAGATCTAGCTTTCAGCCTTAAATATAGCTTATATGGAATCGGGAAATTCGAAACATTTTATTTTTAGAATTTAAGTTTTCAATTCGGAATATCAGACGTTCATATCATAGACATAGCTGCACATTTAAAGCTGTAAATAAAACTTGTATTTTTTCATAATTAAACTCATTTTAGCTTAGTTATACTCAGAATACGGTCGCTCATCACCTGACAACACTGTCCTGCTGTGCCGCTGCATCGTCATAATCAAGCAGCTCGGCATTTGTCGACTCATCAAAGACACCGCCGCCGGCGGCTCTTGCCCTCTCTCTCTCTCTCTCTGTCTCCCTTGTCCGCTCTCAGCAGGACAAATAGAGAGCGGGAGAGCAAAGCAGGATACCTAAAGAAAGAGATAGAGGGATGTAGAGGGGTTTTTATGTAAATCCTTTAAAGGGAAATTGTTGCACAACTTTAACGAGGCAGGGGGAAATGTGGTGTTTAACTGCTTGTGGGTTTTCCCAGCTTGTCCTGCTCTCTCTCTCTCTCTCTTCCCCCCACTTTGGCAGCTGTCAATTAGAGCTTACAAGAAAGAAAAGAAAAACAAAACCCATCGACGCTTCCATATGTTAGGTGCGCTCCACCCACGATCTTCCACACCCCTTCCAGGCTTCCTGCTTCCCGCTTCTCGCGATTTCAGACCCCTTCCACGCTTCCACTCACCCAACAGCTGTTTGGAAAGTTTACCAAACGAGATTACTAAAGTGGGGTGCGAGAAATGGAGCAGTAAGGGGCGGTAGCTTTATTGGCCTGTAATTGATGCCCAGGCTGCCAGCCATATTGCTGATTGAATTGCGGCGTTGACGCTCCGGGGGCAGGGAGTTGTGGAAACAGCGAGGAAAATAGAGCTGCCTGCTGACGTTGGCACTAAACCACTTTTAGTGTCAACCTAATCGAGGTTTCTTGTGGGAAAACCCCACCGCGGGGGTCCACAGACTCATAGCATATCCTGCTGAGCGCTCAATGACAAATCCCGAAAATCTATCCAAGCTTTCGCCACATTTGAATGTTAGTTACATCAAGAAAGGATTCCGTGGTTCTAGAACTCCTTCTTATTGCATTTAAAAACTCTATTTCTACATATAATATATTAAATTAGAAATTAAAGAAAAATTTAAGGGAATGATGAAGTCACCTCTTTTCCTTTTTGGAATATAAAATTATTGCCTACTTGATTTTTCTGTGGCTTCCCTTCCAATTGTTGAAGTTTCTATTGAATTATAACCACATTCTTGAATAATTACCCCTGATTCCTGCCGAATAACGCTTTCCTTTTGTTAACCCAAATTCGATCAAATTATTCAGTTCTGCGCCGGAAACCATATGTTTTTCTTTGATCCCTTACAGGGAAACCAAAGTTTTGCACCTGGCGTCACCTCTTGACCCTTTTGCTGTTCTTTTCCCCCTTTTCCGCTCCTACAAAACTGAGGGTGGGTGAAACTATAACGGTCCCTTGTGTTATAAATATGTGTGTGTGTGTAATTAAGTCTGCCCACGACGCAACTTTTGCCTCTGCGTCGCTTTTTTTTGCCCCGCCGGCTATCCAACCACTTTGGCCCATTCGCACCCCCCTCAACCCCAACCCTTCCGCACCACAATAAACTATTTCGCAAGGTGCCCCTTTTGCCGGCTCTCATCTAGTAGCGACAGCCCCCAACCCCCTGCCCCCTGCCGCCTCCGGTTTCTGCTGCCGACGCAAATCCTTACGTGTCAAATGGGGATCCCCCTCTCACACTGCGGGTGGCGGGTGGCGCTCGAGGTGGCGACATCCACGTAAGCAGTTGAGCCAAGAGTGAGTCTTCCGACGATGGGAATACCCCATATTTTCAGATCTCCTTCTGTAATTGTAGGGAATATGAGCGTAGAAAATCAAAGTTTTTCGCACCCTCTTCCGCGCTCCGCTACTGAAAAACAGTTTCTGCAGACTTTTAAGATTCACTACGTTTATTCCTTTTTAAAATTTGCAACTCTACTAGATTCCATGCATACCTCTGGTATCCTTGTGGGTAGCAAATGAAGGAAAAACCAAAACAACAACCACGGCGAAGGAAAGCAAAAATAATTTCGCGATTTGTCCCCCGGGCAGAGCTTTAAAAAAGTCGCAGATTGGCAACACGGCAAAGAGTGAGGCGGTATGAAAGGAAGAGATGGAGAGAGGTGGAGAGAGAGAGAGAGAGAGAGAAAGAGCTTGGGGCTTGCGCAGACGCCGGGCAAAGAGTGGCGCTGGCTGGCTCTCTTCTGTTTTCCGGCTCTGTGGCAACAAAGTTTCGGGTCTTGGCTTGGCTTCAGAGTCTCCACAAAAGGCTTCGCGAGCAGACGTTGCACGCCCCAAATGGCAGCTATATAGCTTAGCACAAGCAGAAGGCTATAGCCACCGAAGAAAGTACACTCTGAAGAAAGCCGCCGCGAAGGGAACAGAAAAGATATATACACCTGGGTATATATGTATGTGGAAGCTGCTAAAAGAGGTGCAAAAGAAATTAAAATGCATAAATAAACACCTGGCAGGTGTTTGTGTCCGTGTTTGTGCTTGGATTCATTTGTGTGTGTGTGTGTTTCTGTGCGGTGAAATATTACGAAAGAAAACCTTTTATGTTTTGCAATTTTCCTACGAACAAATCAGCCAACAGCCAAACATAAATATTAATTTCGGTTACACCCAAAAATGGGATGATGATGATGATGATGATTGTGATGGACAATAACAAAAACAACAGCAACAGCAACAAGAAGCTGTGCAAACTTGTTTTATGCCCGGTTTCACCTTCTTCTTCTTCTCTCTTGTTTTGACGTCTGCGCCGGGACGGCGACGCTGACTACTCTGCTGACGTCGACGTTGTTAACTAAATGTCGTTTTATTAGTCAAGAGCCTAAAGAGTGTGTTTGCCTGCGGGTACTTACAAAGAGTCTTTCCAAAAAATATGTTGCAAAACTCTCTAAAAAGTCCAAGTTCGAAAGCAAGTTTTAACTTATCATTTCTTCTATGATTTTCAAATATTCCAACACAATATCTTTTCTATTACCTTTATTCAACACCTTGTAACTGCCACAGCTTTAAGCCTAATTTAATGTCTATTTGTGCATTCCCAGAGTAATTACTAACTTATGAATCGATTTCCCATGGGTTAATAAGCAATCTAGGGATTTGGATTTTTCCCATAACTAAGCTTGTTCCATGGGTTAATCCTTTTAAGGGTGTATCTGATTTAGGCCCTATTGGGGCCTAGCAGCAGCTGCATTTCAAAAATCCATTCAATAACACACACTCTATCCTGCTCACACTCTTTTAATAGCTTTGGAACCGGCTTTTTGTTTGCTTTAATTTGGTCCTTATTCTTTTTTGATGTTTTTCGGGTTTTGTTGGTAACGAAAGTTGCCAATTAGGTTCAATTTCGAGGGCTTTGTAGAATATATTTTTTAGCAAAGTGCGTAGAAAAAGAGTTTGGCTGTGTATGTATGTGTGTATCCGTGTGAGCCAGAAGTTCGTGTGTACGTGTTGGGTCGCTGTTTTCGTGCCTGTGTACAATGGGCCAAGTGCGTAATCTCAAAAATGTGTTTTTTATTGTTGTTTGTTTTGTTCGCTCTCTTTTGTGGTTCTCTTTATTATTATTATTTTCATTTTGTTTTTTTTCGACACCCAAATTGTGTTTTCGCCCTCCGCTTGCTATTCTTGTTTTTATAGTTTGTGCCTCTCCCTATCTTCCACTCAGTTTTTTGCGTAGTTTAAATGTTGATTCGAGCGAAAAAGCATATTAAATTACAGTGAACTCAGGCACAGTGGTCTGGTCTGGTTGCTTCCTGAAATAATATTTAAAAGCCTCCCAGCGAATCCCCTCTGTGGTCTGATAATTATTTTGTTTTGGTCCGTTCCTTGGACAACAACATATTTGAATGGAAATTTTCCCAAAACTAATTAAACTAAAAATGTGTTCAAAGGTGGGCGAGTGCCTGCGTGTGTGTTGCTGTTTTTGTACGTGATTTATTTGAGATTCCATTCCAGTACAGTCTGTATTTCTTAAAACTAATCGAATTTCTCTTTTCATTTTCTTTCCAGATTCTCTTTTAATTTGGTATAAATTGTATTTGTCTTGAAATAAGTAATATTACTGTAAATATATATTCTACGTATCGGGTTTTACGCGAAAAGTTGAAAATAATGAAAAGACCCACATAAATAATAATGTTAAATAGAAATTAGCAAGAGATCACTCAAAATTCGAAAAGTGGAATCGTTGCATTTTCTTGTACAAACACGTAGTTTGTAATAAGCCGGAACCGAACGGAGCGGACCGGAAACGGAAGTAAAACTCAAATGACAGCCAACTGAGTGCAAGGACGAGAGCAGACCACGCCGGAGCGGGATAGCGTGCGCCAATGAAAACGTCCCAACAGACGAGAGCGTCCGATTTCGTTGACTACGCCGCCGTTGCCGGAGGAGGAGGAGGAGTTGGAGTTGGGCTTCCAGGATCAGGATCAGCATCAGCATCAGCAGGATCGGTAGCTCGATCGGTATCGGGCTTCGGTGCGCTACTAGGAGCGGGACTGCCGGCCAGAGCGGTGTCCTTCTACGGCTGTGATCTAACGGTAACGGCAACCGCGGACGGAACGCGTCATCATCAGCAGCAGCAGCAGCAGCAACTCGAGCAGCGGCAACCTACAACATCATCGGCAGCATCAGCATCAGCATCAGTATCAGCGACCAGCAAGCGAAAACGTCAAACAGGTGAGTTCCGAAAAGATATCATTTTCAGGTTGTATGATATCAAAATGGGAGTTTAGAATTTTAAATAAATATGTGCAATACAGACTTGTGGGTAGTGATCGATTTTTTTCGATAGTCTTTTTAGAATCGGTTTTATTTTTACCTATCGAAAAGAACAAGAACGAGAACGTTACAAAATCAGGTCAGTAATTGGACTTTTTCCTTCTTTGATTAAAGATTTAAGGGGGAAAAGATGAATCATTCGGAATTTTTTGTTCAATTTCCTCAGCCTTTGATTGCACTCTGCTGCTGTGATGGTACTCATCGATTATTGTGACAATCGCTTGATTTGCTTGAGTTATCGTTATCACACACGCGCTGTGGCAAATAAACCGTTGTTATTAATACATATACTAGGCGCAATATTTATTATTATTGGTTGCCGTGCCGTAATGCTGCTGCTTCTTCTTGTCGGAACCTTATCGCCCGGTTCGCCCTGCTCTCTGGCACTCCCCCAACCCGCCGCGGTTCCTTTTCATTGTTGATTATCACAATAGACGCCATGGCAACTTTTTTTTTTGTTTTTGTACGGGCGGGCGAGAAGGAGAGGAGCGATAACTCACATGGTTTGTCGCCGTTTCTCCTTCCGTTGACTTGTTGTATATTTTGTATTTTTGGGTTTGCGTGGACATTCCCAGACGGTTTTCCATCCTGTTTGGCCACCGCCTTCTTCGTGCTGGATCCAATTGCGTTTGCATGCTCTCGAACATGTCGTCGTCTGTCTCAGGGAAACCCCCCGCGGAAAAATCCCTCTAAATTCGTGTTTATATTTTCATCATAGCCCTAAACTTTGTTCTCTTCTGCATGGCTGCCTTACTTTTGGGTTTTATTACTATTATGAGTTATTGCCTGATATCTCAGGCACACACACACAAACACACACACACACACACACTCACAAGGCCGCTTCGAATTTCCCAAGCCAATTCAACGTCGCTCATTGAAAATTCCATCGGACGCAATTACCACCCCAATTGTCTCCCAATCGAGCTCCTCCTTTGCCCCTCCCATTCTTCTCCTGCTCTGTGCTTTCTGTGTGTTTCTCCTTCGTTCGTTCGGTTTATTTATTTTTCGCTTATTGCGACTTATAAAAATGTTTCTGTTGTTGTTTGCGCTTTCCATTCGCTCGCTTTTCGCTTGTTGTCGTCATCGCAGTTCTGGAATATTTTTATTGTTTTCTTTTTATTTCTATCTTCTCTGATAATTTTGTCCCCTAATATTTTTTTTTTGTTTTCCCCCTCTGCGAATTTTGTTTATCTCTGGTTCTGGTTTGGTCGTGTTTGGCTTGACACAAAACGAGAAAATACTTTTACACATTTTTCGCTATTTCTTGGGATCTCCTGATAAGCCCTGTTTTTAATGAGATTCTTTAATTTTTGTTTTGTTTGTCCCCAAATACTTTGGCTAGATAGGGATAGGGGTGTTCATATGGCCATATATGGATTTTCCGACTGTTTGTTTATTTTTATTTCCATAATCTTATCGGCCGGAAAAGTTGGAAATTAATTTGAGGCAAAGATAGTAGAAGCAACAATGTTAATATAGTTTGTGTTGACTTATTTCCTGAATGTTCCAATTCAAATGTAATTGGAAATGTAAATAGTACGTGATATGTGTGATACCTTAGAGATTCTACCTAGAAACAGCTCAATAATTAGTGTAATTTACCTTAAATAAATAATAATTTAACAAATAAAAATACTTTTTCGCTTACTACTGAGTGGAATTTATAAGTTGTTGCTATCTATCCAGTATTCAGCACTCTTCCACGCCTTGCCTGCAATGTACACAGTTTCATAATTCTTTAAATTGTTTGGTAAAATGTTAATTTTGATAAAGAACTCTATTGTAGACTTTTTACAGAATGTGCATGTGAAAATCTCAGCGAGAATGAGCTCAGCTTTCTTCTCTCAGCCTGTATTTTTCTCACCTTGTGCCCTCCCATTTTGCCCTCATTAACTTCTCGCTCAGAATTCTCGACTTCCTCTGCGGTTCTTCTGGCCACCTTTCTTCAGTCTCCCTCGACTTTCCGTCGATCAGCGGCATCAAAAGTTTCCGCTTACTTTGTTGCCTTTTCAATATATTGTTGTAGCTCGTACTTTCGCCCATAAATCTCCGCCGGTTGCTAATAATTCCAGTAGAGAGTGCGCCCAAACCTCGCAGATCTCTTCCTCCGCTCCTCCGCTCTCTTCGCTTTTCGCCTGGAAATATCGGATTGAGTGTGAGTGGGAAGGATTGGAAGGAATGGAGCTTAGGCAGCTGCGCGCTATCCAATCCAGCCGGTCTCCTATCTCTTGCTGGCCTCTCTTTCTCCTGCCCCTCTTTCTCCTGCTTCTGCCTGTCTGTCTGTCTGTCTGTGTGGGCGTTCTTCTTCTATTTCGCAATTTCTCCCGCCGCACACACGGACCCACAGCACACCACCAACAGCAAGACCATAACCGGGGCTCCTCCTCCGTCCTGCTTAAAGCTCTAAGGATCTAGCGATGCTATAAATTAAAGAAACTCTTCCGGATCTAGCTGAAAGGGTACTTTAAGACATAGGTCTAATTTGTTCAGCTTGTCCTTTTTTTTCTCTTGGTGATGCTTTATTCTGTACACCAGAGATGGCAGCGTGAGATGTGTGCTTATTAAAGGTGTGATTTTCGGCTGATACAGATACAGAAACAGATACAGATGGCAGGTAAAATAAGGGAAAACCAGTAGTCGGTAACCCGGTTCTTGAAGCGCTACCTAGATAACGTTGTGGAGCATAATCTCCGAACAGGTTCCACACACAGAGCCGTCTGTGTCTGGGTTCCCGAAAAACAGGTTCCACACAGACCTCGTCGAACTCGAACTCCCGGAACACCAGACTCCCAAACGGAAAATTGGTACACGCGTGCATCTCTCATTAAACCCAAGACGGGCGTTCTCCTCTCTCTTTTTGGCATCCATTCCCCGTGTCCCTTTCTTTCCTTGCAACTCATTGTAGTTTTGGCCTTTGTCGCTCTCGTTTTGGTTATGCGATACGTTAATGGCAACGTTATGTGCGTGTTTTCTTTTTCGTCACAGAAAATAAACAGTCCAAGAAGGTTTCTTCTGAGACATGCTACCATTTTACCATGTTCTGCCCACGCACTGAGGAAAAACCTCACGTATCAATCATTCGTCGTCCTTCTGACAAGGGCCAAAAAGTTCAACCTAATTTAAATAGAATTTATTAATAGCTTAACCCTTAATTTTTTTGTTAAGCATCACCTGGCGAGTCGATTTAGCCATGCCAGTCTGTCCGTTTGTTGTCCGCGAACAGTTTGTCCGTTTGGTATAACGAGAGTTACTTTTTGGATTTGGCCACAGACACAAAAGATTAAATGGAGTTTGAATTTATACATTCATTTACTTAACAAAGTGGGCTGTTGTTTATTACGTATTACGAAATTGTAAAATTTATATTTTCTGTTATAAAAAGATTCTTTGAATATTATTCTGTGGTTAGCATTGTTGTTGGTGTTGAAGCGTCTGCTGGCCCAGCCCAAAAATATATACATAGATATACATATATATATATGCATATTGTATTTGGCAGTTCGCTTGACATGTTTGTGTGTTGAAAAGACGAGAGAGAAGCGACGACGAAAAGAGGCATACGAGAAATGTAAATGGAATTTCCATGCAAGACATCACGTAGGCTCAAAGTGCACAGAGGCCACGACAAGAAACTGAAACTGGTAAACACACAATTCAAATTTCGATTTGGGTTCGGTTTTTTCGCTTTTGATACTCTATGAATATAGCAAATAGCATAGGTCCGTAGTGAATAATTTATGGGTGTTAAAGAGATCTGTCTGCCTCAGGATGGCGATCGAAAATTGAAATTGAGTTGTTATATCTGCTGTGCCAAGCTGGGAAAGCGGTCAGCATGAAGGGCACTCGGGAAAACTTGTGAAAACGACAGATGTCCGTGAGGATTCAGATACAGAAAACACACACAGCTCAAGCAGCAAGTCGGCAAACATTTCAATTAACCGAAACGCAAGCAAACAGCGATAAAAAGAGACAGCAGATGGCAAAAGCAAAGTTAGATAGGCAGGCAAAAATTATCTTTATTTTGTGTATATTTATTTTTTCTGCTTAGCTTTTCCCTCAATTATTTTTGACATGCCACCGAAATTTGACTTCTGGTGCTGTCAGTATATAATACATATATCCGTTGATATATGACGGATAGGGTCAGCGCTAGTTGGAGGTCGGAGCCAGAGAGATTTCCATCATTACTGGTTTAATTAACTGATTAATTCCAATTAATTATTGTTTTTCATTGCACCTTAATTTGCTGTATTTTAATTAGAACTTTATTCTCTTCTTTCGTTACAGGTAAGCCGCAAAAGTACATCCATTTGATGATCGCCACGAATTGCTTTAAGTGAGTTTCAATATGATAATTCCCGGGGAGATCTGAACTTTTTTGTGTTTGTGTCGAGGCTTTTTCTCGTTTACGCTTGGATTGCTTTCAAAAGCCGAGTCTCTTTCTCCCTATGGATACAGTACGTATGTACACATTGAATTTCGGTTGTTGTTTTTTTGGTTGCTCAGTTGTTTGGAAATTGAATGATCGCCGGAGGAGAGTAGCAGCAACTTTGAGAAATCGGACCAGTTTCGCCTGAGAACTTGTTTCGCTGTTTTTCTGTTTCTGTGTTCGTTCATTGCGCATACAGAGCGCAATTCACCACAAAGTTGGCAGCTTTAATTGAGTTTGCAGTCCCCGAAAAACAACAAAAACAAGTGAGAACGAAGGAGAAGCTGACTTGATCGACTCGGAGTTACCTGGTACTGGGATTCATTTACATGATTGCAGTTGTTCTACAACTTTTAGGTAAAGCCCTAGACCATTTTATTCCATCTAAACAACAATGTAGATAAATGAATATAATGGGATAAACACTGTGGGTCGCCTATATGTATGTGCAACTTTGTATTCTGTT